TGGTCAGATATAGCTGTCTGTGGAATAAACTACCATTAACACCCAGTTCATGTGACAATGTGGCAACAATTAGAAGCAGACTATCCAGTTATTTTGATCTAAATACCATAATCACTATGTTCACATGGGAAAAATCCCTCGATGAGCTATTTCAAGTGGGGCCCAAAAACATCTGAACACCAATGTTTTCATAACTAGGCTTTGGCCTCAACCATCTGCCAGAATGTTAATGCATGTCACCCATGCAAGAGCATGGACACTTCTGTACAACTTGATCTGCGCCGCTACAGACACAGTTTTTCTCCTCAAGAGCAATATACATATATTCGTATTTATTATTATTTATTATTATTATATCGTAACGAACTGATCTACCAATTGTTAGTGATTAATGAGGTTGGTGAACCGAACCCTGACTGGGATCATCTCAATTGTTTCATGAAGAATGCCTTTGACGTTTGCTGTGCACCTGACTTGAAGCATTGATCAGTTTGATCAAAGTGCGTTAACAGGTTCCGTTAGGCAATGAATTTTAGCTTATCCGCAACTCCCTGAAACCACGTTTGATAAGGAGTCTTCGAGTTGACTGGGAACTTTGGTGTGTTGCAAAAGCCCATGAGAGAAAGCCAGTGCTATTGAAAACAGCCGGGGGCTATTCCAGCTCATTCAGAACGCCTGTACGAGAAAGCAATCAGCGAGACAATAGCTGAGAAAGATGGACTGTTGATATATTCTATTCTATTCCATTAGCCCGTTGGCCGTGACATTTTGAGCAGCAGTTCAACAGTCCTGCTGCGACGCTGCCGCTTGCCGAATCACTTGAGCCGGCATGAGAAGTAGATGTCACACCCACTTTGGAAGAGATTCGACATGAGCTCGTCGTATTAAAACGCAACAAGGATCCTGGACTTGACGACCTTCACCCATCTTTGCTAAACGATGTTGGTGACTCTTTGTTGACTGTACTTCTGTTTTCAACAAAAGGCAGCAGAGTTTCTGCCAGCTTTCCTGGTGAGAAGGAGGGTCAGTTGGGATAGTCCACTCATCACCATTGCTCGTCTCAGGGAAAACAGATGAAGCTGGCGGCCAGGAAAACTGCGAGCGAAATTGTTCGGCCCATCGCTCCAACCGTCGTTGAAGATTAGTGATTAAGGAGCCATCCTCTTCGCAGATTGTTTCGCTTACTCCAGATCGGAAGCCTTCGGTGACTCGGATGAGGTGGGACAGTTTTCTGGTATGACCAGAGAGATTAGCAAGTTCAAGCTATCTAACATGTTCACACTACCAAGTCTAAAGGTCTTTCTGTAAGCTCCTACTCAACACTAGTTCCAGGGATCAGCATTCCTCACTACATCTGGTGTCGGCTGGGATCAAGCGTCGCCTGTCCATCAGCGACAAACCAATTTATGGAGACGCGCGTATCAACCTGTCAATGAAAGGTGGATATAACGGATAGCGTCGTATTGTATGGATCAGAGACTTGGCCAGTTCACGACGAAGACATTAAACGCTCGATCGTGTTCGACAGCCGTTGCTTGCGGAGTATTACTGACGTCTAGTGAAAACCCCGGTGAGCAGTGCTAAGGTTCGCCACTTGGTTTTTGGCAAGGAGTCTTCTGCTGCCTAACTCGAGTGTTTGCTGAAGCTTAGTCTCTTAGGTTGGCTAGGCCATGTCTTCTGTATGCCGGTTGACCGGCTTCTTCTGTGTGCATTATATGCCGTCGCTGCACCAAGTTGGAGGAAACCGAGATTTGGTCGGTCGACGACATGACATATAGGCATGAAATAATTGGCTGAGATACTTGGTCAGGCTGGTGTGTGCCGTCTTCGTGGGTGGTGGCCCCGGCACGGTCCACACCAGCGGTTAGATACCGGATCAGACATGGCGCAGCCACGCAATCAGTGGCGGTTCTACATTCGGTTTCTTACATTTGGTCGTTAACTCTCGGTCTATTTCGGTTAGTATAACGCACCTTCTTGCTTCTGTCTTCTCTACATTCTATTTGCATTCACCTCCCTATCTTCCCATTGTTCTTCTTGCTGTGTGAGTCGTGGCACCTGGATCCACCGCACTTCGATGCTCGGATCATAGTTGTTCAACTGAACTGAAATCTCGCACCCGTGTTCTGGATGAGCTGGGATGGTACATGCTGTTCACTATGTCACTGGCATTCTTCATCTCACGGGCCCTTGTCACCAACCAACGTTCCCATCCGATTCGAAAACTCCTTGTTAGACGTCAGATCAAGGAGATACGGACAATCTGAAAGTTCCCATCGTGACCTTTTTCCTTTCTTTGATCATACTTACACCTCAGACATCTATTCACTGTTAAGACATCATAATTTAGGCGTATGGTGGGTGTCAAACGCGTTCATCACTGTGCACTTGCGACGATCCTAATCAGCCTTCAGCTCACCATCATCATTCATCGTTGTCAATCGAAAGGACAGTTTGTCATGATATAGTTAAACTGCATATTGCTAGTTCGCAATGAGTTCAAAGTGCGTGTGCATACTGAATACTGAGAATAGAGCGCAAGTAGATAAAAATATAGGTAGAAATTTGTCACAGCTAGACTCACTCAGACAACCGCCACACGCCCGGAAAAGCACTGTACGCGCGTTTCATCCTTTCGGGAATCATCAGCAGTGCGCATTCCATCGGACCCCTGGTAGGGCTCGAACCCGCAACTCGACTGTTGCCAGTCCGTGGTTGAGACCACTGAGCTACGGGGACGGCAACGACCATCGTGAATAAGTTACTAGATGTGATATGGCGCCGCTCACTATCCACTGACTTACACGTTACTGCCGTGCAGAGGACAGGGCAGCCCCCTCACCAAGCGACGAGCTTACCAAACTTAAGCCGCCAATTAACTTATGGCATTATAAGCAGTTTGGTCTGCGTACTAGATTACAGAAGAGTAGTAGGGGGAGTTGAATGGTATAGGTAGAAATTCGTCACATCTAGACTCACTCAGACAGCCGCCACACGCGCGTACAGTGCTTTTCCGGGCGTGTGGCGGCTGTCTGAGTGAGTCTAAATGTGACGAATTTCTACTTATACCATTCAACTCCCCTTACTATTTTTCTGTAATTAGATAAAAATATGTGGTGCTCCATCGTAGGGGGATCGGGCACATGCGCGGAATCACGTTGCTGATTCCTGCGCGGTGGCAGCACATTGTAACCACATTATATCTTATCCGGGTGCGATACTGTAGTGACTTGGAGATTCCCCCGTATGACAGTGCAAATTATTCGAAAAAATGTTAAAATTATAGCTTTCTTATGTATTAGGGAATTAGGCGGTTTGCCTGTTGGAACGATGTTCCCGTTTGTTTAAAAGGCGAACCCGATATCCGCCTTTGGCAAGCGCGACTCGACTGCGAACGACGCCCGGTCCACGCACTCAACTAACTACATTCTCCAGTGCCAGTGTTGGGAAGAGTAACACCCAAATATGCACATTCTCCCTGGTTAGCTCTTATCTGGTGCTCTATTTGTAGCCTTAGCTAGGTTTGCTGCCACTCAATAAATCTTTTCCTTAGCTTATTTCCGTGTGTTCTCCCATACGCTCATGGTTGGTCGTTAGTCTCGTACCGTATATATAGCGCCCGATCAACGCGCCATAATACGCTCCCAATACCTGTAATCCGCAAAGTGGGCGTCGAGTAATCTCCTTAAATACGACACCGCATTCGCCACGACTGTTGTCTTTGGCGACTTGTTCCAATATTTCGCTACTCGATGCGCGAAGCATAGTGAGTGGGGGATACGCTTCAAATCCTTTACCACCAGTTTGTACCGGTGTTCTCGTGTGCTGCTTGGTGCGCGAACCTGCAACAGCAGCTACAAGATACGGAAGTGGTCCAGGTGCAATATCCGGTGTGTAATTATGAGCTCAACTCGAAGCCGATGATATGGCAGGGTATCAAGCCCTGGTCTCCTACATCGGTCCTCGTACGGATGCACGTTCAGTGTTGGAGGTCAGAGGCTGTCCGTCAGTACCCTCTAACACATTTACGTCAATTGCGCGCCTCAGGCGCCGCTTCACGTAAGGAAAAATCTTCTTCGCTGAGGTTTCAAGCTCCTCCTCGAACTACCGACGCCTTCGCGCTTTTGCAGATTGGTGACCAATTTGCCTTTGAGTGCGAACATTAAACGCCGCCAGTCAAACAGGACACTGTGGTCTTACAAGGAGCTGTTGGCGACTGGCGATCAATGAGTGGTGTGGGAGGATACATGCGTAGTGGAACTGCAGTGGCGCTTCAACTGTTGTCAATTAAACTGGGAATTATAGAAGGTGGGTTAGTAATGCAGGTTGGGAGGGAGGTAAGAGAAACAGGTGGAAAGAAAAGAAGGGAGGTGCCAGCAATAGCATGTTTTCGCTTATCCGGTCTACTGTATGCAGCAGATTAGACTACGGTTTGGAAGCCGCGCGAAAGCAGATGCATGATATGGTTAAAGTTTGAAGAAGTAGTCATGACTGTACATGGGCTGAGAGGTTGCCAGGGCGCCCAGACTTAGACAGGAGAAGGATTAGAATACTTAACCAAAGTATTTGGCTCAAAAGCCTATCCATTAGGTAGCGGATGTGGCAACGATTGTACGGTAATGAACGCTATCCCAATTCTAATCCCGAACCTAGAGGAGCAACGGACTGAGTTTGTCTAAGAGTTAACCTGGTAGGTGTTGCTGAGATGGAGTCCGAGGACCTAGCCCAGTATAGCTCAATGGGTCTACAATGTACGCAAACCGTCGTACCATGTTAAAGTACAGCCTCTGTACATAGAGTCAGGGGTAGCTTCCTGCACGTGAAAAGAAACTAGGTAAACAAAACCAACAACCAGGGCAAATCAAAAAAATAAGGACAGTCCGTCAAAAAATATCACGCTGAACACCAGTAAAAAAGGTGAAAGATGCATGGTCGAATCAATTTCGCAAGCAATGACCCGAGTAATAAGTGGAGCTACAATCAAAAACCACGTGACTCACAGTGAGCATCAAGTGCGTAGAGGTCACGTCTAGGTCCAGACAGGCAGAAGAACTTAAACCAGGCAACTTGATAGCGATTTTTAAACTGTCCGGTGGGCGGAGGGGATTCACATCAGGAGCGTCTCTACTATTGATCATGTCAAACTCTGAACAGTGGGTGACAGTGTAACGTGGTTCGGTGGGGGAAGCAAGATCCTTGGTGGCTGTGGAAGTGAACAAGACAGATGTGAACCTTAGGTGAAAAGCAGTGAACTAACATAAAAATGACAAGCCTTGGAATATAATGGGATGATAAAATAAAAAGGAACAAACGGAGAACGTTGACCATAGAATAATAGGTTTGACTACCCGCAAGTGAAAGTACATTACATAAACATGCATTACCAAACATATATGCGATTTCCAGAGTAAGACCGTAAAACATTGACGATATGAAGTGCATCACGACAGCCACAACGAAAAAAATAAGCGGCTCAGAGTTAACGTCGACATTTTAAGTGAGATCGACATGAGCGTATGGAAATCTAATGGCTACTCATTGTGAACAGCAGCAGGGCCGCTGCAACATATAATTGAACCGGTTCTTCCATGCAACACAACCAAAATGAGCACAATAAAGTTCATTTGCTCGTCACATTTATATTCGCAATGAGCTCCATATAAACCAAATTCAAAGCTAATCGGTAAAGATTAAGCCGATGTCAACCAACAGGAATTTCTAGATCGGTTGTACGTCAATAAAATCAAAGCCGTTTCCATTATTATCGCGGTATTTTCGGGGCATTAATGGGCATTGCCCGTAGGGAGAACTGTCAGAGAAAACAAAACCCAATACGTGCTGAGCAAAAAAGTGACCAAACGTGTCCATGCTGTTATCTACCGAGATGCTGAGCAATGGAATGGAAGAAACAGACAGCATGATTGCACTCAAACAGATGGTGGTAATAATGCGGAAGGTAGAAAAATCGCAAAATTGTGTAAGAAACGACACCGCTCGGTTGCACGTTAATAGCCAAAACATTGAGGTGTATTTTGAGGTATCCCAGTGGTAAGTTTCGCAGTCAGATAACAAGTTTCGAGGGCGAAAACTATTTTAAAAAACAGTTATCTGTCAATATGGGAGCATCACAAGACCAACATGTATTCTGGCAAAATTCCATTATTTGTTGCTATAGGTAGACATATCAGAGTTCGCATTAAGCGCTGTTACAAGTCCCGGCGCAGCCTAAGCTATGCAGAAAACTGAAAAAGGCCACATTTATTGCCTGCGTTGCATAGAGTGCGCCGGACCAGCAATATAGCCCAGTTACAATAAGCTGGAAATTGAAGACAACCAGTCAGCTGCATTCTTATGAGACTCAGTAGTATGGTGGCATTCCTAAAATTGGCAAAAAAGGTGGTGATAAGTCCAACTAGCGAACAACAAATATGTCAACTCAGAATACTCCGTATGCTAGCAGTAGGTAACAATATGAAATGGTGACATCACAAAGACAAACAAACGGAGCAAGTTAATCCTTGTCACAAAAGGAGAAAATTGTGAAAAGAGTGAACAGTGAAAAGAGGAAAGTACTAGCTGAGGACTCTAAGTGGATCGTGCATGTGAATTAGGCTCAAAAATTCTACCCAACTGAGTTCCGGAGGAGTGTAGACGGCTAGTTGCTCGCTCATAACTCCTGCAAGCAAAATGAGTTAAACAGGATAAACTGCGAAATGGTGTGCTAGGTTCATTGCAGAGAGCAAGCTTGGAAATATCATGGCAGAAGACGATTGGAACATAGGTGGCAACCACGAACAGTATTCAGTGCTGCTCTATGCACAAAATCTAATTGCCATTGTCAAATGAGGCACGCATAAACATCTATTCAAGTGAATCCAATCAACCAGAGAAGATACGGCCTAGAAAGTAAGATCGATGTTTACACCGTCTGCTGCCCAGGACCAAGGGGAAACTGGCTTGCTCTCTCTTCATCTGGGATGCCTGTTACGCAGTAAGGTGACGGAAAGAATTGTGTCTAGGATCTTTATTACTGCCTGACAGATTGCCGCTGCAACCGCCGATTGTGAATAGTACAATCATGATAGATTCACCTCAGTTAGATAGGATGATGTCTCACTTCTATACTTCTTTGAACCTGTGGGTTAATCTTCCACAGAGGACCTAACCACAGTGGACAAATGGCGCAAATGCGACAGAATCCTGACCCGTAGAGTAAAAATGATGACAATTCTGAGTACGCTCCGAATCAAGAGAAAAATCTCCAACTAATCCGCCATGGATCAGCGAGCTAACTGAACAAGAAGTGGTCCCGTAGCACCAGGCTATCTAAAATGTTCATGAAAGTGCTCCACCCAGCAAACCGGACGGTGTTGCTTATGGGAATGAGAGAATCTGTGATGCTCCTGATTGTCGCCCCAGCACCATCAGGCGATGTGGCTACGATGCTAACAATCACGCTGAAGAGCTCCATGTACGAACCGAAAGATAAAACAGAAGCATGTGAATTATGGTATGTCGTACAAAAGACACAGTGCCAAAGCTATCAAAAAATGTGTGGGCCAAATAAAGAGAAAAGTGCCTACCAGAATACAGAAGCACAAAAAACCGCTGCGTATCCTTTTTAATCTCGGTGCACGTCGAGAAAGAAGGATACAATTTTGGGCTAAGACAGAGATGCTGATACACAGAGAAGCGAGAAAAAGATAAGTCCCCAAGATTTGACACTCGATAAAGATTGCTATGAACCAACGCATCGACCTCGATTCTGTATACCAACGACTGATAAATTATTACACAGATTTGAAACGGTAACTTGTAACGGTAGAACCGCAATAGAGTAACTTGTGCAACTGCTAGTGCACCCATGGAATAGCTATAGCCGCCACACAACGTCGAAACTAGTTACATACACGCCTGTATAAATCGCTCGGGTATTCTTGAGTACCACAGATAGGCAATATCGATGAAACGTGCCTGAAATATGTAAGAAAGCCATCCCAGTAGTAGACAGAGTACATCTCCGGATTTGTTCGAGGCTCAACATTTACTATCAAACTATTGCTACTATTCAATGAAGATGTCAACTCGATTGGTGGCGAAATATACGCAACAAAATTGCACGACTCGGAAGACCAATCACCATCTCATGTGGACAGCGAATTCATTGTACCATGACAACATGGCTAAATGGCTCAACTGTGTGTCTGAACCTGTGAGAAAGTTCACCAGATAACAGGCATTATCGTATACATTGGAAGCAATTCCTTAATTGGCAAGTATAATCTCCATCCGAAGGCAGATATGTGCACTTGAGATGCAAGCTACATCCACCAACATTTTGCTGGACGAGTGTTGACTAGGCTTGTGAGTTGACCTGGGAAGATGACCAACTATAGCTCTACAAGGAAAGATTGGAGACCAAACTCATTATGTGAACACAAGATACTTTCAAGAAGAAGCACAGCAGCAGCAAACAGATAGAGCAATGATGCGTAGGTCAATGGGTCCGTTGTTTGTTGAAGTATTAATGGGTACGAATGAAGAGAAAAGAGATGGTTTCGTCAAGTCAACGACATACTGCTAATGATGAGAACAATTGACACTCAATAGAGCGCGTTAAGCCTTACTGTGACGCGAAATTGAGGAATAAAATTGTTTCCTATGTGTACAAATACTGCTCACGCAACAGTTGGATGGTTCGATCAAAATATAAGTCAACAGGAAGGCGACTTGATAAGATCAATCTCTACGCTAAAAGATCTCCCATCCGACACAAAAAGTATGCTGTGTAGTCCAGATGTTTCCATCGAGCTCACATGAGTCGTACCCCAGTCACGCTGGAGATTAAAAAAAACAGGTATTCGACATGCAACAGTCCAACGGTTGTCCGTTGCAACGCATAAGATGTTCTAATGACAGGAAGGAAAGAGATGGAATGACAACGGCCCGAAAAAGAAGGGATTTTTTGAATTTCTGTTCAAAAAATGAACACACTGTGAAATTAAGTTTGAAAAGAACAAGCGTACTATCGGAAAAGTTATACAATGCAGCTGAACTACCGTTGCCAAAAAGCCGGCGTCGACGCACGTCACACTGTCTGCACAGATTATTCCGTGCCTGCGAAGACACCAACATGGTGCATTGATGGAAATCTGGGTGTATAAACCAACAAATAGATCTAAATTAGCTGTGCAAAGTGATGGATATTTGTCATTTCACCATGCTATTCAAGTAGAAGATTCGATAGCTGAAACAGGTGAATGGAGAAGGAAGGCGGAGTCAACAATCGACAGGCAGTTATTGAGTAACGGTCGTCAGGTTAACGCTGACCATTCACAGTCGTCACGAGTAAAATCCATAAATTCTCAAGCCACTTAAAAGAATTCTTAATGATCGACAGCGACCACAGCTTTGAGTGTAGAAGTAACTGGGGATGCGCACCAATCGACCATCAAGCGATATCATCACATAGCCGTGTCTTTTTGAAACTAATACTGATTACGAGTAAAGTGATTAAACAGGATGAATAAACTGACAACATCATCCCACAACGTGCGGCGCTCTAAATGCTCATCTGGGAAATAACACTAACAGCAAAGGTAGCGTAACAGACGAAACTTTAGATCCAGCCAATTCATCAGCTCAAAACATCTGGTCCCAAGAGAACTAACGGGACAAACCAACAGCAATGCGGGAATCCAAGATCTGATAAGCAAGCTTCTGATAAAGGGACGAAGAGCTGGATAAAACAACGACAGGTCACATCAGTCTGCTTCCTTTGGAGTTCTAAAAGTTCAAATGTAAGCTATCGGTTCGACTGAGGGATAAAACCGGGGAGGTGTGTAGGTAAAAATTTGATTGAAGGTGAGAGAACCAATGATTGAAGGCGATGTTGTAAAGAATAATATAGCATCACTGACTTCTGTTTGGAGCTCGCTCTGAAGAAACGCAGGGGTATGTGGCCAACATTTTTAGCGCTTCCCGCTGGCTGGCGTCGGAGCAATTCTGCATATCTTCGGAAATTCGCCTGTCGAGCTCAGCTTGACGTGATGCATAATCCGGTCGGCGCCGGCGGATGACAGTAGGTCGGGCAATGCCCTTATAGGCGGTCCCTTTTAGGGTGCGCACGGCTTTTAATAAAGCTTCCTCATGCATCGGAGATTGTGGTACGCAGACTGGTGAAGCAAAGGCATTACTGCTCTCTGTAGGATGTTCAGTGGGTCCAAGCAATTGGGCCAAATAAACGGCTTGCTGAGCGGTCTTGCCCAGACACAGATTGAACTGACGTCTAACGCCATCGACAGCGGTGTAATCCAACAGGCGTCGAAGGGTAGAACGAGTAAAAGCGAGATCGAATGCTTTCGAATGAAACGCAACGTCGTAAATCTAAACGAAAAAATGGGCACATATTTAGAATCACTTTAAGTGAAGCAATCTGGTAATATGACCTCCAGAGTGAAGAATGGCATTAACACTATTGGTAAAATAGGACAGCATTTAAAGAGATACATGTATAAGAAAAAGCGATATAACTCAAGTCTATAAATATTGAAAGCAAAAATAAAAAGAAATGGACCAGGATTTTGACAATAAGGTTTTTGAAAAGTATAGGAAAATAGCAGTGCCTCGGGACACTTGCACTCGAGAGTTGAACCGCAAAACTTAACACGAAAACGTGATCGATAATATGGAAACGAATTCCAATTATCAGAAACCAGTGCATCAGTTGTAGATTATGCATATACATGTCAGGATCTAGCCACCACCAGCCCCAGCGCACCACAGGCTCTCCTATATATATATATATATATATATATATATATATATATATATATATATATATATATATATATATATATATATATATATATATAGGCGGGAGATCCTATGGTGCGCAGAGACTGGTGATGGCTAGATCCCGAAAGGTGGCCTAATACTGCTGCTACTGTTGTGACACTGCCTCATGTCATGGACGCCTCCTCGTGGTGACCACTGGGTGGGGGTTGGGCTATGCATTTCTTCCTGCTAAGATCCAGAGCACCAATCCACATGAGTTAGTGAACTGACCATGTGCTAGACCCGCTGCCTTTCGGGTGTACATTTAATGGAGGGCTGGATGAGGACCCTGCCCTGCCTGCATCCTAGTGCATCCACGTCGGAGGTTAGGAAGTGGTCGATGGCCCTCTTCCCGTAAAACCTAGTCATGGGAGACAACAGGTCTACTCAATTGGCTCAATTGGCGCAGAGCACGAGCGCCACGCAATGTCTCTGATGGTGGGATGGCAGCTGCGGGTGCTCAATGGTTTGCTACTGCCCGCCTCAAGCCAGACAGCCACTGGTCAAATGGGTGCGAACCTGCCAAAACTCACCTGCGTCTGGTCGTGGTCGCAGGTGCGTATCCTACTACGGTCGCAAAAATATATGAATCGTTCCAGTACCTCAAAGGCCGCGTGTGACGGCCGTCAAGCAGATCCCAACCTGTATCTGCAATTACATTCCCTAGCTGGATCTGCTTCCCACTGCCTTGTGGGTCAGGCTTTTGAGCCAAAGGCTCCGGGCGCATTCCCTCAAGCAAACCTCCGAATCCCTCACTGCCTTGTGGGTCAGGCTATTGAGACAAAGGCTTCGGGTGAAGGTCCTCAAGCAAATCTCCGAAGCACAACCGCCACCTCCCGTGCGATTGCCTACCAAAGCAATTGTATGCCTGCGCGCAAAGCATGTTGAAGGAGTGCGGCCCGACTCCGCTGATGAAACGCGGCTCCCATCCACATCCCTCTCGGTCTCATTTCTTTGGGTTTATACTGGATGTGGGGTGTGCGGATGGAGTTGTGGGTGGTGCAGCACAAGCTACCTGTGGCATCTCAGTAGGCGCAAGCGTCACGTGGCTGTCCTACGGAGGCTGCAGTAACAGAGAAAACTGGAATCAGATGCCGCCAATCTAGTCGAGTTCTTGATCAACTATTGTTATGATTGCAGATGGTACCGGTCTTTTGGTCGTGAACGCTGGCTTGGATCCTGGGCAAAGACACAACGAAACACCGCTTCAGGGACCGTGATAAGCCTTAGACTGACTTCGCTGGATGATCTGGAAATGCTCTGATTCGATGAAAGATCTGTCAGTGAAACATCAAAGAGTCCCCGCCTTTCGATCCAGTCGCACGTCAGGTTTTATTGGGCCAGCAGGTAGCCTCTTGCAATATTTTCCAACCCCATTAATTGAGGTTTTGTATGTCGTTTCACCAACCAGATTAAGCACTACGCGAGATGAGTTGTGAACGACTGTAAGAAGTAGCAACTTCCGGCCTCTTTGTGTGCTTCCATGTGCTCTTGAAACGATGATTATAACGGAGGACATATGATATGTATGGTGATAAAGATATTCGGGGTCTGAACTCCCTCTCTGAAAGGCGAAAACGACTGACAAGTAGTCTGCAACAGCATGTTTGACACTCTTCTCCGAAGTGAACGGTTGTGATTGCCTGCAAAATTCGTCCTTAAGGCCCCGCTTATAGCACTTAGCAAATGTGGTTCATGAATGGGTCGAATCGGGGAAAATTCCACTTCCCGCATAACCGGCAGGCAGCAGGCGACCAGTTCCGTTACATGCGAATGGACTTGAGAAGTTTGTTTCACTATGTCCTCATCGCAGCATGGCTATTTAGCGGCTGTGCGGGTGAATCCTTCCAGCCCATGGCAGTGCCATGTTTCGCAGTAAGGGAATTCAGCTTGCTGTCCGGGTTTTAGTCGAGCATCGAGAGTAGTCTTGTGAGGGTTTCGGAAACTTGCTGGGACGGATAAAGATGAGACACTTGAACTGGTTATCTGTCAGAGAGTGGAACTTGAAGTGCACACATTCACGGCTGACTGTCTACCAGGGTCCTGACACTAATAGCGAATGTTAAAATCATGACGACAAACCAAAAATCTCGCTAACTTGCGACAAAGGTTTGTCAAGTCTAAGAATTTTTGGTAATTTATGTAGTGTGGGATCAAGGAACCTTGAATATTCATTTATGCCAAGTTTGCGGAACAGCAGTCGCATTTAGCAAGAGTCGTCCTGACGGCTGAAATCTGTTCTGAACATATCCTTACAGTGTCTGAAGCACCCATCAAAAGTACATCCGGAAGAACTGAATTTGATATATCAACAGGACTTACCTGAGTGTCCAGTGAAGCTGTTTCAGACGACGGAGGCATGGCGTCAAAGCTTCCATAAGCTTCATTTGTCTTAATTTGTGCTTACGGTTGCCGTAGCAGCATTTGAAATGTAACTACAGTAAAGTTCAGTGCATTATTAGTTTTCTCCATCGACATTTGTTAGATTTGCCTCTTGCTATGCGACCACATCCTCTGCTAGCTCCGAATCCCAGCCAAACGCATGAATCAATGGCTAGAAGCAAAAGTGCGTTGCAAAACAACTACCGAAAACGAATGGACATTTATAGGTCAACGCGGGAATGTTCACGTCTTATAACAGCTAAGTCAGCTGCTCTGATTGGTAGTTCAGCTCCCTTAGCCACTAGGTAGGTAGGTACGTGCGCCTTGTGATGGACGCAAGTGATCCATAAACGACTCGATGCATCGGCTGCATAACCTTGGCTCAAATTGTTTTCCAAAGTAAAGAAATATTTGTTAGTTTTACGTCCTCTGGAATACTTGTTTTCACTCATTTGGTATGATCCTGGCAAGGAGGCTAGACTTTAACGTGGTCCGACAACTTGCGTACCTCGACGACCCATTGAGCTATGCTTGGTGGGTCCTTTGGGCTCTTTGAGAGTTACTCGTACCAGGTTGATCAATGGTTAGAGGTCAGACGAACACAGTCTCATTGTCCCCCAGGTTGCGGGTTTTAAATGGGATAGTGTCCTTTTATGTAAAACCGAATCCTGCCCATACGAAGCAACCTTGGGTTGAGGACCCTAATCGTTCTGGACGCCCTGATAGTATCTCAGCCTACATGCAACCATGACTATTTCTTCAAATTTCAAACATATCCTGCATCGGCCGTCGCGCAGCTACTAAAGGGTCGCTTAATTTGCTGCATACAGTAGGGCAGATAAGCGAAAACATATGACTGCTGGCGCCGCCTTTCTTTTCTTTCCACCTGCTTCTATCACTCCCCTCCTAACCCACTTTACTAACTTTCCTTTCATAATTCCCAGTTTAATTGACAGCAGTCGATGCGCCACTCCAGTTTTACCATCCACAGCTCTCTTCCCGTACCACTCACTGGATACCAACCGCCAACAGCTCTATATAAGGCCACTCTGATCCGTTTACCTGATGGCGTTCAACGTTCGCACTCTAAGACAAGTAGATCAACAAGCTGCCCACGCACACACACTGGACAGCATGGGTATTTACGTGTGTTGCCTATCCAAAACTAGAATCAAAGATCTTCACGGGTTTGTTGAATTAACTGCGCCCGGTTTGTCCTCCCTCTATCGCTTGTACGCATCCGAAGAATCCGATGCGGCAACCAATGGCCAGGCTTGGGAGGGCATTGTTCTCAGCTCCAAGGAAGAGTCATGTGGTTAATTGGATTCCGGTTCACAGCGCTTTGTGTGCGGTCCGCTTGACTTGATCAAGTAAGGTTACTTCACGAAGTAGCAATAGACGCTGTTTGTTTGTGGTTTACGCTTATGCCCCCACCGATTGCAGCTCTGATGCTGCGAAACACGCCTTCTACTACGAATTGAACAAGCTAATAGGTAGTGTTACCAGTTCAGATATCGTAATTTTTGCAGACGCTACGAATGCGCAAGTAAATCGTCTGTTCTTCAGATGCTCAGCTAGATGTTAACTATGGATTTAACTCAGATAGAACGGACAACGGCGAGCGTCTGTTACAGCTGTGTGGAGCATCAGCTGTTTCTTAGCAGTACCGCTTTTAGACACAGTGGGCGACGAGGTGCCAATGGCGTCATCCTGTGGCTGGTCAGCGATGGACCCAAATTGATCACATGGCCATAAGTCACAAGTGGCGTGATTCCATTCTGCACTGTCGCTCCTTCTGGAATGCTTGCGTCGACTCTGACCATGCTTTGGTTCTATGCCGTTTTTCGATGAACTTTACCGGGATGCGTACCAAGCGCGTCCTTCGAATGACAAGTGAGAAATTGTCCTTCGATCAGGCAAGCCTACCAGGATGCAGTGCGTATCGAACTTCGTTCGTCCCAATGACACAGATCGTCGAGGGAACAGGATATCAGCCGACGTGCACCATGCAGGAGCCTCCGCTTGCGGCACTATCAATCGTCTTCGAATCAGTTACTGGATATGCGATAAGTTGGTGGGTGAACCTGATGGAATCCGGAAGAAAACTCCCGGCTGGCTCTGAGCACAATGTGACCAGACGGACTATCAGGCGCGAACTAAAGCAGAGCCAGTGTGATGACAAAGAAGTCTGGTGGACTAGTATGGCTCAGGAAATGTAGGAGATGGCATCAGTAGGCAATTATTGCAAGCTCTTCCGCACCACTAGTCCCAGAAGACCGGGCATCCGTGAGACAATCAGAGACAGCGCGGGTGCCCTGATTAACAATAAGGTGTGCCATATGGCTCGTTCGCCGGAACACTTTCGAGAGTAGTTCAGATGGCCCGCTGCTTCTTTGCCTCTTCCTACTCAGGTGTTGCAGGTTGAGCCATGAATAGTTAGTTTACAGGCTCCATCGTAAGCTGAGGTCCAAAACGCAATCGCAGCTCTTAATCGTTTCCGTGCACGTGGCCCAGATTCCCTCCCACCTGCACTATTTAAAGATGGAGATGGCTTCCTCTGCAAATACGGACCTCCCTGTTCGAACATGTCTGGAACGCAGACACCATCCAATCTAACTAGAGTGAATCAATTATAGGGGTGAGAAACAAGTAGGGCAGCCGCACCGACTGTGCTAACCATAGGGGTATTAGCCTAACGCCATGGATGACAAAATTGCTGACCTTAATTGTTGTTCGTCGCCTCATTGCGGAAGAGCGGGCAGTCTTCCGACCACGACAGAGCTGTATAGACCATATATTTACCCTATGGCAGCGCAAGACATAAAGCAGACCGAAAATAGCTATGTTCCTCAACTTCAAGTGTGCGTTCGACCCAGTCGATGGATCCACTCTGTTCAAAATACTTGTGCGGAAAAGTGTTCCCACGAATATGTGAAGAGCTTACGTGCCCGGCCTCAGGGTCTATGGTGTCCTGTCGAATGTCTTTCGGACAACAAGTGACGTTCGTCAGGGTTGTCAAATTTCCCAATTTGCGTTCAACTTCGTCGTGGATTCCATCATGGAGTGTTCAGTTGCGGAACCTCACGATGCAGGCGTTTAGGTGCTGATTGGTGAAGCTAGTTGAACTTGATTTTGCGGACGATATTACCTTGCTTGTTGACCTTGCTTGTTAATCAACCAACGATGGCTCAGCCTTGGAGCTTAGAATGATAACTACACCAGCTTGACCCGTGAGTGCTGCATCGGCGCCTCAGGATACGTGCAACCAATAACGAGACGACAAACCAGGCGCAGTTAATTCCACAACCCCATTAGGGTCATTGATCCTAGGTTCGGAGACACAACACACATCAGTACCCATGGTATCCAAGGTGAGTGCGAGCGCAGACTGTTGACTTACTTGTCTTAGAGTGTGGAAACGGGACAACGTGGCCTTAGAAGGGGCTGTTGCCGATAGGCATTCGAGGAATGTTGTGGGAAGGTGGTTAGCAGATGGTTATACTTCAGTGGCACTTCGGTTGCTGTTAATTAAGCTGAGAACTATAGAAGGAAGGTTGGTAATGGGGGTCAAAATGGGAGTAGGAGAAAAAGATGGAAAAGAAAGAAGGGAGGCGCCAGCAGTGGTATGTTTTCGCTTATCCGACCTGCTGTATGCAGCAGATAAGGCGACCCTTGATGAGCTGCAAGACGGCCGATGTAGGATGGAGTTTCTGATTGAAGAAAAAGTCATATTTGTATATGGGCTGTGATACTGCCAAGGCGTCCAGAACAAGAAAGGGGTACGAGTAGGGTCCTCAACCAAAGCCTTTGGATTAAAAGCCTGCCCGCAAGGTAGCGAGAGTGGCAATGACTTAGTTTTACAGATATGGACACCATTCCATTTCAAACTCCCAACTTGCAGGGCCAGGAGACTGAGTTTGTCTGATCTCTCACCATTGACCAATCAGGTAGGAGTACCTCTCAAGGAGCCCGGAGGCACCACCCAGTATAGCTCAACGGGTCCAAGAGGTACGCAAACTGTTGCATTACGATAAGGTCTAGTGTCACTGCGACGAAGTAGCATCAAGGCTGAGCTGCAATGCGCATCAGCAGAGCTGGTCTGTGGCGCAACTCTAGCTACTAGAAAAATTCATTTCAGCTCCCACATCGTCGTATGCCCCTGTCCAACGCCCCGTCCTTCCTAGCACAACGCATGCGTTCACTATGCCCGGCTTCTGTTCGTCAGCAGACTAGAGATGTGTAAATGTACAACATTCTCATACCTGCAATTACGTCTTCGTCCGCACTGACGCAACGCGGTGCCCTCTACGGCCTCCCTACACAGGCCCTTACAGAGTTCTGCAACAAATTCCGAAGCATAAAACGTTGGACTAGATAAGTCAACGAATAACCCTGTCCATCGACCGCCTTCTTTGACGAACCACCTCTAACCCATTTTGATGCAATCACACAAGAACCCGCACTTGCGGTGACTTCCCGAGCAACAGTTAACCCAAAACCCTCTGTTCCTCTAGACCCTCCGCTTGTCTCGTCTCGACCCCCGGCAACTCACCAAAGCAGCAGACAGGTCAAAGATCCGGTCCGTTTTGCAGATTAGGTGAAAATTTGTTACTTCCGTTAAGGTGCGTGTCCTGACGTTTTCCCGTAATCGTGGATTTCGGCCACAAACGTTTTGCAAAACCGACAAAAAGTCCAAAACATTTTTAAAACCCAAAATGGCGTATTTGCTTTCGTCCTGTATGCCATGTTTACTCTTCGGCGGCAGGCTACACCCCTGACCTATCCCCAACGAGTTCTGAATTTCAGAACAGCCGAGCATCGATTTACCCGCCAATCGGCTCAAGGCTCCTCCCTGGCCCAAGCGACAACCAGGTTCCCTTGAACACGGATAGCTACAACCGGACTGGTCCTCAAACGCCTGGCTACGTGATGTTGACAAAGACACCCGGATTTCTTCGTGGCACGATGACTGTTTTCATCGTGGACCGGGGTGCAGTGGGCAGAGTGACACCTCCCAAGCGCACCGTTGGGCCTGCAGCAGAGGACATAGTTTGTCTGACTTTTTTCTGGACTAGGCAATTTGCTTGCAATCCGACGAGCCCGCCCCGACGTTCCACCGATGATGCATTCCACTCGACACGTCAATACCAAATGAGCTTGGAACCAGTGAACTCTGCAATACACCCCATTATTGAATCTCGAGTACAGCCCCCACTTTACTTCTCTTTTCCCCTTACAGCTCTATTGAAGGCTTCCATTTGTCAGCATTCTAAAGGGGGGCCTTTGAAGTGAACCTGAAGAAAGACACATTAAATATTTTGCCCTCTGACTATCCACTTCCTTAACTGTGTGTACATCGTTGGTACCTTTTTTCTGGTGAGTTCCGCGCTACACGTTTCTTGTCCTTGCTGATTCGCTCTCCTGTTCAATGTAGGTTGGGTTCAACTGCCTCCATGTTCACTAATGTTTCATATTCGGCACGTCTCTTACGTGTCACCACTACCGACCATTATCCGAGGCGCCACACAACAACAGCGAGCGCCATATGGCACAGCTTGACAGATCGGATAGGAGCAAACTGTCATGGTACCTTAAGTGCCACGCAGATAGCTGCGCGACTTCATGATACAGCACTAGAGACATGCCATGCGTGACTCTGAACGACGATGTACAAAATAGGTTAAAAAACTATATGAAGATGAAGGAGAAGGGAATTCTCACCATGACTCGCCTTTTCTTCTTGTCAAAATCTTCTCGAGGAGGCGAAAGACAGTGTGGCAACCTCCAGAAGCAGCCACCAGAGACCTTCTCCCCATTGCTATCTACGGCGGACTTTATGATAGGGCATTCAACTTTATCAGATTTGCAAACGTTGATAAACACTTTTACGCTCTCGCCATCCGAGTGGTCGTGGGTGGCATCCGCAGCGTAAACTTTGGGCCAGTGATGAGACTTCAGACAGTGTCCCGGAATGGGGTTGATAAACTCCACATCAATACCCCGTTCCATTTCCAGTAACCGGATCTCCTCTTCATACCTTAGCAGAAAAACACAATTTAACATTACCAAAAACTCATACAAAATTAAAGTAGATGAGGCAAAAGGCACACAACAAGTTTTGTAATTCGAACTAAAAAGGTATCAGTTGTGCGCCTGTGCTCTGCAACGAAGCTTCGCTAAAACGCGACCGCCACCAGGCATGCGTAAACTAATGGTACTCTGAGGTCGTCTACATTTATGCAGATTCGAACTTGTGACCTCTGGCTTACGGCGTAGACGCCTCATGTCTTCGGTTACTGGCCAATGATAGGAACATCAGGGTGAAGAAGCACAAGAAGCGGAAGTAAACAGTTTAGCAAAACAAATAAACCTGAGCTGGGTACACTAGGAAGATACGTAATGACGACAACCAGATAAGGAAACTGAGTAAGAGAAGCAGTTTACGACTTCACTGTCACATCCATGGGGCGTTTAATTGGTGTATGGATTAGGATACACTATCTGGTTGTAAATAGTAAGGTACCATGAAACAAATATTGAGTACTTAAACCGTAGCTGAGGTAGTAGATTGTGATATCACCGCCACATGCACAATACAGGTGAAGAAATTCATGGCTGGTAGATGCCATCGGTATAGGACAATAGATCAGCATAATTAATGTCTGTTGCAGTGACACGGAACTGCACTTTGTGGTGTTTTGAGAGCAAACTTGGTATGCATGGATTACAACAGTCAAGCGGAATTTGGACGGGAATTTGCACTGTACCACACTTAACACTAATTTTCACAATCTTCGTGAGCATTAGATACTTAAGTTGAATTATCATAAGACTGGGTATTAACATGGCGGGGTTTATGTGCCTCAATACTCACTGTGCTGAGTGTTGCTTTGTTCACTTTCAAAGGCACGCTTACCAGACTGGGCAGCAATCGTACGTTAAGTAAACGCAGTTTCATGGTCCTCCAAGTTGTGGGATGGAAGGTTGCTTCGCAATTCTTAGAATGGAATACCTGCAGTCCATTGCCAAACTCCCACTGCATGGCAACTAAGCTTTCGAACCAAAGCTGTTAATTGAAAACTAGGTTTTCATGTCTAGGCCTGGGCAATCCGCTAGTGAATTGCCAAAGAAATGCAATGAAATCTACCTCAACTTTTAAAGTTATGACCATCGTAAGGAATAAATAATAGCACACTATCCGCCGAATCGAGTGGAGTAGACGGAAGAGACAATATTCTTAAGCAGGAATTCTTGTCTGCATATGCTGGTTCACGGTTTCATTCAGTTCCAGCTTCACTTTATCCTTCCCATTTTGATACCTTAAGTCTTAGCCCTCCCCTACCTTGCTTTGAAACGTGTTAGTCTTCTAGTTCCGACTTACATTCGGAGAGTATTGTTTAAGTTTCGTTAGCAAATCCATGTCTGAAAACGCAGAAAAGCTATTTGGGGCCCTCGGATCCATAATAAGACTGTCACGTCTTAACGCGCAACTTGTTATAGCTCAGACAACAAGCAGCACCTGACCGAATGGTAAAGGTGAAGTCACCCGGAAATTCCTTTGTTTGTTTGGGTACGATGTGTAAAATATTATAAAAAATATAATTTCACTTGGTACACAGACGTAGTGAGCTTGTCTGTTCGAACGATGACCACGTGTGTTCGAGTCAACCAGACGAATCGAATTTCGTGCGCTTCCGGCTTTCCCGCCTAAAAGAGTGCTCGCTGCGTCTCAGCTGGCGACTATGCCTTTCCCTCAGCTAGAACCTTATTACGGTGCCTTTAGCTAGCGGGATTGTGCGTACCGACAATAAACGTCTACCTCGCTCATATACTCGTCATTTTCCGACTTTCCTGAAGGCGAAACGAACATGAGTTGATAGCGACCGAACGATTTCGCTAGATGTCAGAATAAGAAGCGGCACGCAGACGATACTGGGTCAGGCAGAGTTATGGTAAGCAGTCTAATGGAAATAGGACTAAGAAGGGGAAAACGAAAGCATAAATGAATAGGTTCAGGACCTGGACTGCATAGCAGCCATGGTTCGATGGAGGAGGGATAAGGGATGGGATAAGTGCCGCAGCTGCAATGAGGATATTGTTGCAAATTCAGCCGAGGAATGAACTTGGGGCTGTAGAATATAATGGGACCACAGCACCTCAACAGGTTAAATGCTACTCAGGAGTGGAGAGCGGCGGGGTCATAGGCAAGTTAAATGGACAACAGATAACAGTGATGCATCCGAGGAAACGAGAGAAAGGGGGCACAGCAAGAGGGCGGTGAATCACACGCTTGAGAAGTAAATAAGGGTGGAAGCATCCTACGTCAGTTGGTAGTATCTCATTAGAAGGAAAAGAGCCGGATTAAAATATGAAGTAGTGGCCGCTCGTGATCGAAAGGTGGGTGGACGTTGAATGCATAGCAGTCGTTGATTAAGTGGAGGAGAAATAAAGGTTAGGTTTAGAGTTTTCAGCATCAGCAGAATATTATTGTAGAGCCAGCTGCGGAGTATAATCGGAATGCAGTGCCACAATAAATTGTGTTCGATTCGGAAGTGGAGAACTACGGTGTCAAGGGTAAGTCAAATTGACAGCAGGTAGTGATTCATTCGAGGACAGTGAATTACATGCACGAGAGGTAAATAAGGTTGGGAGCTTCATAAGTCGGTTGGTACTAGCTAAATGGACTCCAAGAAAGATTGCATCACGTCGAGTACCACATCATCATCATCATCATCATCAACAGCAGTACATCAGCCATTTGAACTGATGCTTCGCTGCCATACAACCATGAGGACCTATGAAATAAAGAATAAGAAGAGGGAGAGGAAGGGGGACTTACCTGAAAACCTTAATGCCCTAAGCAAACATTCAGGGTCAAGGCGCCTACACCTTGTGTTAACAACATTCCGTCACAAACAGCTGGCTATCGTGCAAAGATAAGGCGGCATCGGCGAGACAGCTTCCTTGCGGCTTTCACTGCCACGCGTCATAATCAGCCATTACCCCGCAGATAACTCAGCACCAAACACACTTTAAACAGACAATCCAATTAGGAGACGGCAGCAGACGCGCCACTGGTGTCGGTTGCGAGCCATGTCCTGTAAAGTCTCGAGCCAAGCACAAGGTGAGTCACGTGGGCTCCAACCCGGAAGGCGAGACGGACCAACGGCACCCAGTTTGGTCGTCAGTGACTTCATTTCCCGCTGCCAAGTCAACTTCTGTCCACCTCGAGCCTTGCGCCATCCGACACCTGGTAGACTGAACAAGGCCCTCCTAGGTAAGCGGTGACCAGGCATGCGTAGCACGTGCCCGAGCCAACGTAACTTATTCTGTGCTATCTGTTGTTCTAGCGAGCTAGCATGATCATCACCACCTAGTACTCGCCTACGCACATCATCGTTGCGGACACGCTGGTGCCATCCGACACCAGCAATGCTTCGCAAACAACGATGATCAAAGACTTGAAGGCGCCTCAGATCTTCAGACCGAAGGGGCCAAGTCTCACTACCATAAAGCAGAACGGCCCTCACTGTGGCCTTGTATACACGGCCTTTCAGACGGAGGGAAACTCCCTTCTGTCGCCAAAGATGACGCAGGTTCAAGAAGGCAGCTCTGGCCTTTGCAATGCGTGAGCTCACGTCAGTTTCTATGCGCCCATCATTGCTGATGCAGCTGCCAAGATAATTGAATTGATCAACCATCTCGAGTTCCTCGTTAGCAAGCGTCAAGGGGTCATCGAGTGGCTGGTGGTCCTGCAGCAACACTTTGCACTTTGAAGGTGCGAAGTGCATACCAAATAATGGGACCACTCTGGATAGACTATTCAGGGTTGATTGTGCCGCCTCAACATTGTCGAAAAGCAAGACGATATCGTCCGCATAATCTAGATCAACTAACCGTTCACCAGGCAGCACTTCAACACCTACATCGTGAGATTCCGCAAGGGAACACTCCATGATAGAATCCACGACGAAATTGAACAAAAATGGGGAAATCGGACAACCCTGTCGAACGCCACTTGTAGTCGAAAAGCTATCCGATAGGGCACCATAGACCCTGACGCGGCCTCTAGTGTTCGAGTATAGAGCACGAAGGATGTTCACATATTTCGTGGGAACACCTTTTCGCGCAAGTATTTCGAACAGAATCGATCGATCGACTGAATCGAACGCACTCTTGAAATCGAGGAACACAGCTATTGTCGGTCTGCGGTATGCGTGGCGCTGCTCTAGCACCTGCCGCAAAGTAAATATATGGTCTATACAGCCACGTCCTGGGCGAAAACCGGCCTGCTCTTCTCTAATCCGAGATTCCCGTTCTGCAGTGAGACGACGAACGATAATCGAGGCCAGTAATTTTGTCACAACTGGCGTTAGGCTAATACCCCTGTGGTTCGCACAGTCTGTGCGACTGCCCTTTTTGTATATTGCCACTATAATCGATTCGCTCCAATTAGCCGGCACACTCTCTTCGTTCCAGATACGTTCGAATAGGGAGGTCAGTGCTTTGCAGAGGACCTCACCTCCATCCTTAAATAGTGCAGGTGGTAGGGAATCCGGGCCAGCGGCACGAAAACGATTGAGGGCTGTGATCGCGTTTCGGACCTCGGCCTCCGACGGAGGCTCTAAACTAACCGTCCATGGCTCGTCCTGCATCACCTGAGTAGGAAGAGGTCCGGGAGCAGGGGGCCAGCTGAACTGATGTTCAAAGTGCTCAGCCCAACGAGCCATACGGCGCTCATTATTGTGTATCAGCGCACCCGCGCTGTCCCTGATTGTCTCACTGACGCCTGGTTTCCTCGGACCAGTGGTGCGGATTAGCTGGAAGAGCTTCCGGTAATTGCCTACTGCTCCTGCCTCCTCCATTTCTTGAGCCCGACTGGTCCACCAGGCTTCCTTGTCAGCACGTAGGCTCCGCTTTAGTTCACGCCTAATAGCCCGTCTGGTCACATTGTGTTCAGAACCAGCCGGGAGGTGCCTTCTAGCTTCCAAAAGGTTCACGGACCTCTCGGATATCCAGTGACTGGTGCGATGACGACTGATAGTGCCACAAGCAGATGCTCC